AACTGAAGAAGGTAACTAACACCATAACAGAACAGAGAATTTTGACTTTTCAGGATACTAACGGATGCTATCATAAATTACAACAAGCATAGGCTCCAATATCTCTTCTTGTGCTCATATGGCCACAAACAATGAAGTCCAAACCAGCCCATCATACCAACTGAAGTAACTGGGAAAAGGTTTAAAAAAGAACATGGCAAAATGAACAGTTTCAGTAGCTCGTGCTAACAACTCCGAAGATCCCAAGTTTAATTTGCCGTTGCTTTTATCAAGCTCTTCAGAATCCCAGTAAACCTCTGCTTGCAATTTCAGAATTTCTCAGAATTAGACGTGATGTGTGGTGTAACCCAATTTTTACACTAATAATGTGCCTGCTCTGAATTCAAGGGAGAAGAAGCTCTTATAAATGGCTTAAGTACAGAACAAAAAACAGGGATAAGATCATGTTATTGTGGGTAAAGAACACTTCAGCAAGATGCATGAAAATCCAAGTAACTTAGTTGGCCATACTCCTCTCCCGAGTTCCTTCCTCTTGGACTTTAACCAGTATAAGGCCAGTTAGATTTCATTTTATACTCATACATACATATATATAAAATATACACACCCCCTAGACTAAAAGTGAAATAGCCAGTCAAAACCCTTAAATGTTTATATGATGAAAACTTCTTTTCCTAACTTCATTTTCACAGAATCAGTTATTTTTTCATGCCACACATGCTTAAAACTCTGAATTTCAGAACCCCTTTTATAAAAGAGAGGATTATAAAATCACTTGAGCATTCCTCTAAAGTAGAGAGGTGTCATATATTTGCAGTTGTCCTTGGCTTTTTAGACCATGCCATAGGAATTTACAAACACAGTTCTGAGGTATCACAGTGTGAAACCTACTCATCTCAATAAAAATAGGTTAAATTGCTTTATAAAGCAAGCTTTCTAAAGATGATTTACCAATGAAAAAAATTCATATTTTTACCTGTCTTTTACAGTATTTATGCTAAAATCATTTGCCACCCTTTATTTTAGGTATTTGGTGTCAAATTAGCCTATAAAAAAAATATTTTTTCCTGCTCTTATGCCAAATTTGACTGTCGTTTTTTATTGGAACATCAAAAGCAGGCTTTTAATTCTCACAGTTTTGATGCCTAATGAAAAGTGAAAGTTAAACACAGCATGGCAGCATTAAAAATGCATGGTAAATCCATAGCACCCTGACATCTTAGCCCTGCAGAGGATGTGAAGAAAAGCCATTGTAAACAAAAGATAATACTACTAAATACAAAGCAAATTAATTAGATGGTCTGACAGACTCATAAACAAAGAAAAATGGAGGGAGAACATATGTACAACTATCTTCCAGCAAAGATATCACAATGGCCTGTCAATGGTGCTGCCATATATTGAATTAATTCATGTATTCATTTTCAAACTTTGCTCCTGAACATCTGAAAATTGACACATTGATAAGCTACTATTGTCAAGAACTTGGACAAAGAAGGGAGTTTGAATCCTCAGCTGTACCACATAACCCACAGATCAGGGTCTTAGGGCTCTAAATCACCCTTTTTTACAATCAACAGACTGCTAAGGATTGTTTCCAGCCAAACTGTCTAACACTAACCCCAAATTTAACCAAAGAGAGAACTTCCTTTTGTGCAGAAAAACTGTCCAAGTTCCCCTGTCTCATTTCAGCAGGAACAAACAAGTGGCCCTTATGAAGCTCTTGTCACGTGCTTTTTATGAACACTCCTATACTGATAGGGGTGAACTGGGCTGTAAATTCACCAGCAGTACCTGAGATGATTTGTTTCCCTCCCCCAGTCTTCTAGGAATTAAGCTTATCGTCCAGAAAGTAAAAGCAACAATATTTTGATTCCTTCTTTTAATTAAAAGGAGAGAAAAATACTGCTACTGACAGCAATACTAGAAACGTTCTTCCTTCATACATTCTGTATGTATGTAACACATACATAACACAGTGTTTGAAGACAAATGGGAATAAGCAGATTAAAATGAGGCCTTGAATGAATTTTACCAGTTTGTCCTCGGGAACCAAGATGTGTCTTACAGCACAGTCTTGGACAATAATATAAGTTGTTTATATACCTTAATTTTTCTTTCTTTTACACATATTCAGTTTTTTCTTTTACGTGATTCAAACTTACATTTTAACAACTCATTTTTATATTACTATGAATAGCTTGTACAGACACTCCTTGGCAATCTGAAAAAGAAACTTACAGCTGAGTGAGCATAACACTGTAGCTGAACTCCAGCCTTTGGGAGGCACTGGCAGAGAAAATGATCAGGAACCTCACTGCTACCCCTGGTCAAGCTTCTAAGAACAGCAGAGTTCCTGACAGCTGAGCATTTCAGTGAAGATTCCTGAATAATTTATACACCACGTACACTTGCAAGTTACACAGGGTGAGGAAATAACTAAGAGTACGCCAGAAGAGGTGCAGCCAGTGTACCTGAAACTAGGCAGCTCTCCAGAATTCTCTCTTTCCCACTTTTTAAATCCTGGACTACACAGGCAATAGTTGCCACTCAGACCCCTGAACTGCTTATTTGTAATTGTCTTGAAAAGGGAAAAAATTCTAGTTCCTTTTAAAACAAAAAAATTTAGACTAAATTTTCCTTTTCTAAAGCTAATACTAATATAAATGCAATTCAGGCAAGGTAAGTAAGACTCAGTAAAGTAAGACTCAGTTAGTAAAGTAAGATTCAGACTTTTAAATGAATGGGCAATGGATAATAAACAAATCCTCTTTGTTTAATCACAGGGCTACCATTGATTTTGGTGGTGCCAAACCAGGAGACTGCCAAACATGCATTAGTACTTAAATGATGCAAGTAGAGGAGCAATGCTTTAAACTGATTAAAAAAATCTCTGTCCAAAAAGCTCATGCTTAGAACTTTTCACTGTAATTTAGATAGAAATCAAATATACTTTCATAAATATCCCTAAAATCTCTATGTTATTCTACTTTTTTACATACATATATAATTTATGGGATATTTATTTTTTTTATTGGTACATTTAACTTAAATTAACACAGTAAAAGTGACCAAGATTTTTTTAACAGAGGTCAGAGTATTCTATGACATTTCTACACAAGAACATGAACAATGCATTCAGCATTTTTTCATCTTGCAAAACAGGGACAGACAAATGAAAAACTGTAAGAATGTGTCTCTCTACTTAAGAGAATCACTTAATCACTGAGTATATAAAATTAGTGTGTTTCATATGGACTTAGATGCTATCCTGATGAGAGTTTATTTTTGGGGGAAATTTAGGAAGAGCTAGGAAGTTTGCCAGAAGGAACTTGGGCAAAAGCAAGATGTTTCTGGAGTGAATTACTGCATCAGTTCCACTAACAGACACAGAAAGTTAACAAAATTGAGCTCATGGTAATTTCACAGCTTGCCCTGAAGTTTCTTCTTAAGGCAACTAATGTCTGTTTATTACATAAGACCTAATGCAAAAAGCTTAATGGAATGCAAGCTGCCATCTTACATCCTGTGGAAATTAAGTACAGGATCATTATATCATTAACTTTCTCTAGTGTTTCCTGAATATTTGTTTAAAGTCATCAGCAAAAGCTGTATAAAACAACAAGAAAGTTACCTTAAAAAGGAGGAACCATCATCCTACTTACATTTACTCTTGTGCATCCATATGCATAATCACAAACATCTTAGTAAATATTATTTTTTCCTTACTCCTAAAATGATACTTTTACACAATTAAGGTTTCTATTTAATATCCTCATCAGATGAAATTATATGTTGCCTTTTAGGTCTCAGAATCTTCCCAGGGAAGCAACTAGATTTAGATCTCTTAAAACTTTATATGGCAATGATTGAAACAAAAGTTTCTTCCTTGAAATCAAGTCAACCTTTATATCAACAGCCCCATCTTTCCAGAGCAGCCACACAACTACTCTTTGCCCTTCTGTCCTATGCCTCAAAGCACACAAATTCCTCCTGCAATCCTGACCTTCCTGTGCTACAGCTGTTTCCTCACTCCCCACTTCCCAAGGTGATAGGGAAGCTCAGCAGGGCACTGAAACAGAGAGACAGCACAAGTGACTAAGATTTCACTACAGCCAAGATGATTTCTGGAATAAGAGTTAACTGAAAAATATATGCAAAATTTGGCTGCAAATTTCATAACACAGACCTTTGTTTAAGCAAATAAGGAAAGAGCAAAAAGAAATGATCTTTCATTATAATGACCTGCAACAATAATACAACTTGTAAGATCTTCTGTAAAAGCAAGAAAACCAAAAAATACTATGCCAATATTTTACTCTAGAACCATTCTGAAAACATTTCTCATTTGCATTATCCTGATTTTCCCAAAAGGGATTTTCCGAAAGAACAAGGTACAGCTTTTGTGACCTCTCCAACAGTGTCATCTTGGAATGTTTGCCTCATTTTTCAACCCCTCAAACTCACCTATAAAATCTGAAGCAACAGTTGAACTGTAGCTAATACACTGTTGTAGGCTTAGAAATTTTCAACAATCCACTACATTTTAAATAAATAGGTCCTGGACAGTCAACAGAAGTTAAAAATATCCAGGCACTGATGGAGCCTGTCCACAGCTCAGAGCAACACTGTGCAAAGACACTCAAGCTCAGGCTGAGGAATTGCACAGAGCACCTAAAGCATGCACCTGAGCTGCAGTGGGAATAATGTGCCATGTCAGTCACCCAGGGTGCCGTGGCACACCAGCGCAGCTTCCAACACCTCGGCGAGTTCCCTTGAACAGCTCTGCCCAGCCCTGAGTTGTGCAATATAGACAAATTTCAAGTTTGAGCAGGTGTGTTTCTGAATGCATAAAAGGAGCCACTCCCATGCAAAAAGTACCAGTTTTACAGGGTAGCTTTTCAGAGTAGAATCACTCTGTTAAGCTGGGGATACAAAGCACATGCAATACCAAACAGGCAGATGCTATTGAAGGCTCAAAATGCAAAACAAAGCATTACCATTTTTATCCATGGAATGGGGCTCAGACTGCTTCTTTCCAATATCAGCAAAGGATCTTACAATTGGGATCCTGTTGCTCAGCTTCTTCTGGTTCTGATGGTGATGCTGTTTCAGTAAAGCCTCATGCACCCGGTGACGAACATCCTCACTGAGCTGCCCAGAACCCACCTGCTGGTCCAGAATCATATCTGAAAATATATACACAAACATAACAGAAGAGGGGAAAGAGGAAACATTTTATCTTTTTAATTGCAATAATAATGATTAGTACCCTATAGGATGAAAAATGAAATGCACCACTTCCTTTAATGCAACAGAATTAAATGTAAGTTTTATCTAGAACTGTTTGACTCTTGGGGGGAGAGAAAGGTGAAAAGCAGGGAGAAAAGGATGCTATTAATATAAAAAAACCCTCAAAAAACGATGTAGTTCACAAATTAAGGTCACCTATGCAACGACTTTGAAGTCAGTCCTTAAGCACTCACACATACAGCATATTTAAATCCAGGGTTATGATGTGTCTAAGATGTCTTTTCTCCAAATAACCCCTATTCTATTTTCTACAAAGGCCTGGCATGCTGTGAGGAAAAAATTTTTTTATTTCCTTTGTACTTACCACAGGAGATCAGTCTTTCTTTCTTTCTTGTAACTAAAATTACAATACCTTCGGTACAATACAAATAAAGTCCAGGTAAGACAAAAGAGAAAAATTGCTTCATTATTTGTCGATACCAAATAGAATCTATTTCTACTGTCAGGTGTACATGTTCCTGCAAGAGGATAATTTCGAGGAGGTGAGAGTGAAACTGAACCCCCTGCTAAGAAATTACAACCATTTTTGCAGTGCACTAGCAGAAAAAAGCCTTATGTATTGATATTCAGTGCTTTGTATATACACAGCCGTTCCTCTAGGAAGGTGACACAGCCCAGGGAGGTGCTTTCGCACCAAAGCACACAGAACAGATAAAAAACAGGAGCTGGAAGTCACTGTGCTGCTAGGAAGTGCCATTACTGAGAGTTTGTGGGGCATATTCCACAATTGGAGTGTGGCTATCGATGGCAACAGGCTGTTGATAAGAGACATGAAAGGATGGAGAGGCTGAGGGGTCACCCTCTACATCAGACAGATAGTAAGCATGAGGAGCTGTCTCTGAAGAACAGCACAAGCAGTGTTAAAAATTAGAGACAAGAAAGGGAATTTCACAGCTGTGGTTTACACCACAGGTCAGCCAATCAAGGGGAGCTCGTGGATGAAGCCATCCCACTCCAGCTACAGGAATCATCACACATACAAGCTCCAGGCTGAGAGAACAGAGATTATTAAACCTGGAAAAGGCTTGGGATGACCTAATTGCAGCCTTCCAGCACCCAAAGGGAACTCAGAGGAAATATAGGGCAAGACTGTTCACAAGGGCACACAGTGACAGGACAAGGGGTAATGGATTTAAATTGAGAGTAGTTTTGGATTATTAGGAAAAAATTCTTTACTGTGAGGGTGGTGAGACACTGGAACAGGTTGCCCAGGGAAACTCTGGATGCCACATTCCTGGAGGTGTTCCAGGCAAAGTTGGACGGGGCTCTCAGCAACCTGGTCTCCTTGGAGGTGTCCCTGCTTATCTACTTAAAGGTCCCCCTGCCTAGGGGGATTGCAACTAGATGATCTTTATGGTTCCCTTCCAACCAATACCACTCAATGATTCCATGATTCTATGATACACATTATGGGTTTCAAATGAGAAAGAATTGTTGAGAATTTTGTGGGATTTTTTTTTTAATTATTATTTGGGGAAATACTACTACCAACATTAATGATGCTTAACAGAAAAATAAAGGAGAAAAATTCTGTATAAAGCATGTATTACAGCATTTAAGTACACACTGCCTTTGTATATTAATTGGAAGAAACTGTACTGCACAAAAATAGTGATAAAATAAGCTGAGTCCAAAACTCCTTGTACTGAAAATCCAGACAGCTCATGATTCTGTGCTGGAGTCGGATTCATATCTGCCAGTAAACTCAGTGGAAAAGCAATCAGAGCAGGAAAAATAAAAAGCAGATGCATCATCAGTAGAGTCATTATTTGTCATGTCTTTGAAAACAGCCAAGAGCAACAGAAGAGATATAAAAAAAGATAATAATAAGTTTGTCAGTTAAAAGCAGAGTTTAATTGCTAACAGTCACCTATGCACTGTATATACGCTTAAAATGCACAAGTTTTTCTGACGTTCTCAATATCGCCATAACAAGCCAATGTATAACACACACCTGCTTGAGAGCTGGAAAACAAGAAACCTGCATGTTTCACTTGCAATGGAGAGGCTATCAATGAGTCTACAGCTCTACAGTGACATGCACACGGAAAGGCAAGGATGGCGTCCAGGTAAATGCACCTGCCAACAGATGTGACCATGAGCGATGCATCCAGAGCTTTGCAATGAGGAATCGGGCAGAGGTTTTCAATATGGTACTGGACCCACCCCAGCAGCCACATCCTGTGCAGCAGCAGCAACAGGGCTGACCGAGCAGCTCATACCAAGGAGCAATGCTGCCCCATATCATGCCCAAACTAGCAAAATCTGTCTTCAGGGTGCTTCACCTGAGCCTGAAGGGAACTTTTATCTGCAGGGTTAGCTCAAACACCATCAGGTCAGTTATCTCTGCACTCCCAGTCTAGACAGAGGCTTTTTTTAACCAATCTAGACCCTAATGAAAGAGAGAGGCATAGCAGCAAGATACATGACAGAAAGCCAAAGGAGAAGATAACACAAGTTTGAGGAAAGTCTTCAGCAAAACATTTTAAGAGAAAAGAATTTGCAACACATGAAAAATGGAAACCAGTCTTCTGCTCCAAGAAAAATATTTCTTTTCCTCCTCTACTCTATTGCCTTTTGAGACACGCCTCTGCCCTAAGGATACGACTATCTTGCCTTTGGACACCCTTAGTACATGAATCTAAAGGAATAGCTGAAAAAAAGGATTCCTCTAGGAATAAACAGGTAAATTTAGGGTTGTGATCATCCCTTTGCATACAGATAAGTAGAACTCCACTTGTATGGTGTCATTCCTGGAGTAACAGTATATTCCACATTAAATATTAAAATATATTCATTGCTGCCAATATCTAAGATTATCCATTTAGGAAAGAAAATTACAGGAAAAGGAAATCAAATCCCTAGCCTCTTTCTTTCCCTAGGATGTTCTGCTAGACTTGTTAACAGCCACAGAATCCACAGAGTTGGTGCCAGTGTGATGAGTAAGAATTTTTATTTCCTGCCAGAAAGAGAAGTACCTTGAGATTTTTGGGTTTTTACAATGACTTCCCTTTTACTGTAGCACTGCTACCACATGTAATAAGGGAAGATGAATTCAGTTTTGGAAAGAGTGAAGACGTGCATTCTTGCCTTGATATTTCCCTCCAGTTGTCATTCTTTTAACATAGACCCAGTTGCAGTAGTAACTGCAGGAGCTTACATACAGTCAAATTTCTGACAGATTGCTGTATTTTTACTGTTTTTTTTCAAGTTCTGCACAGATGTGAGTTGGAATAGGACTGTGTCCATCCACCCCTACCATTATGTGACTCCTTTTCAGTTTCTTCCCAAGAGTCTCAAAATACTTTTAAAAAGCCCAGGCCCCTCCAATATCAGTAACACACTTAATTGCAAAGATGGTATTGAAAACAAGAGTAGCATGGTTAAAGTCCAAGAGAAAATGGTCAAAAGGAGCATTTTAAACATTTAATTTTCAAAAATGTTGGAATATCCAGCAGCACAGTGTTACCCACTCTATTAAATGCTCCCACCATAACATTTCTTCTGACATCGAGTACACTGAAGTAGGATGTTTCTTCAGTAGGGAATCTTGGTTGATACTGGAACCATTTAATCATTTTTTCAAGCTGTTAGAGACAGATATTCTCCCTGACCTGGTCATTTAAAAGAATTCAAAGAAACTTGGGATTTCATATAATTTCAAGAATGTTTTCTCCATTCAGACTCAGTTATAATACATCATCTGTATAAACTTAGTTTTGTGAGTAAATGTGAGCAATGTGAGTACTTTAACAAGCTATTACAGAAAGTGAGCTATAACTCATCACCACCTGGGAACAATTTACCCAGGCTGTGAATTACAGCACTGAGGTGCAGACGATTTGTATCAGTTCAAATGCAGCATGGCTCATGTGTGGCCCAACAAAGAAAATTCCATCTGTCCTACCTCTAGAGTCAGCAAGGATGCAAAAGCAGGCTGGCTGCTTCCACTCACTCTGGAGGTGTCTGTTTCACACTGAAGCTTCCTACAGACATGTGGCTAGATCCATGTGGAGGCCCCACAGGTCGAGGCAAATGGACAGTAAGGAGGCTCTCTAGTGAGGAGAGACAGCTCACTCCTCACTGCACCAGGTTCACAGTGTGCTCATCACCCCATGTGCAATAATACACAGAATGCTCAGGTAAAACATAGAATAAATTTATAGAAAACATACTGTATTTGTAACAAAATATCTGTAATTTTGTAACAAAATATCTGTAATAAGAAATTGCTGGGCTCATAGTATCCTGATGTTGACTACAAAACCTAATTTAAAAGCCAATATTCTTCTGGCTTGTGGTCATTGCCCTTAAAGACAGGGAAGAAAAAAACCAAGCAACCCTAATGCATTGCTTTATGGAAGACAATCACTTGGAATGCTGCCCTTTATCTTAATGCGCCTCTAAAGAGGAACTCAAATACATCCTTCCCTAGCGAGTCAGGCAGGAGAAGCAATACAAACCCAACCATTAGGATTTCTGGGCTGCACTTGTGAACCAAGACCCATTTACATCATTTACAATGGTGACTATAAACAAGCTAAGACAACAGATTTAGCAGCTTGTCCAAGAGAGCAGAGCATTCCAGCGTTCCAAGATACAGATTGTATTTCCAGCTTTACCTGAAATTATTTGGCCCAGTTATTCAGTTAGCACACTTGAAAATGAAAGAAATAATTAAAAATGCCTGCTTTTTAAAATAATAGTACGTAATTTTACTGAGGAACAAGAGCAAGTATTTCACAAAACTGTATATTGCGGAAACAAGGCAAAAATTCACAAGGCAAAAATTCCCAGCTTGAAGTTCAGAACTGCAGGCAGAGTGGATGCCTCATAAAAAATAAATTTTGCAAGCTGAGATTGACTTGTGCAATCTAAAAAGATTCCTAGAGTTGTGGTTAACATGGGAAAACACAAAACAACCACAAAAAATGATGGTGCTACTTAGAAGCTGGTATGAGATCTACAATTTACCCACAGACAAAGGAACAAAACCTGACAGTTTCTCTGTAGAGGTTATTACCACATGCTATGCTGAAAATAAAGCAAACAAGTGTAGAAACCTGGGTAAGTGAGAAGGTGAAAGCTGAACAAAAGACAGGTGTAGGGTCAAACAGAGAAGCAGATTACCCACAGTCCATCCCACACTTTATTATAGTGTTGTAATAAAAGTTAAATGCACCATAAAAGCACTGTCAGAAACATAACACAATGAGAGTGTCGCAGATGAAACAAGAGGCTCCAGTGAAATAAAATCTCAACTCGAGCCTGTTAAAATATGTCATTATTATGGAGTAATATAGCTTAAAGCAAACAAAGGTAAAATAAGCCTTGTTCAGATTGAAAGCTTAAAATGATATTAACAAAATCAATAAAATTGCACACTTGGGATGTAATGCCCTGAGTTGCTGAGCACAGAGTCCGGTGACCTCAATCACAAGATTAAGCTGTTACACAGATTGAAAATTCAGTCGTGAGGAACATACAAAAGACTGCTTGGGAAAAAACAGTCAGATCCTGGGACTGGAAAGGAAGGGCAGATTTAAAATTTAATTCTAAAATTATTATTACAATTAAACCATTAAAAAAAAAAATGGGAATATTTCAAACATCTGCAAACAACATCAGTCACCAAAGCTCCACTGTGCAGCAGAAGCCACAGTTTGTATTTGACAAGGTTTGACATTTGTTCACAGAACATTCTGCACAACTGCAAGAATATGCAAGTTCTGTGGCTCATGCTGTAAAGAAAGTATTGCCATTAAAGGCTGGACTGAATAGTTTTTGAACCAAACAACAGAAAATGGCATCATATGTTAAATAGAGAAACCTTTTGGGTTCATTCAGTGGTTATAATCAAAAAACCAGATGGTAATCTGAGAATCTACATGGTTTCAAAGGAACTAAATGAAAATATCAAAAGAGAACATTTTCATCTGCCAACTTGAACAACACAGTGAAGCTGCTCTCTAATGGTACAGCCAGATTCTGGCAAATACATCCTCAAGAGACAAGTTCCAAAATAAACTGTTTTGATTACATAGATTTTTCAGACTTCCTTTAGCATATGTTCTATACAGAAGTGATCGATAAAATATTACTACATAATGTTCAAAGGAATCCCTTGTGGATGGAGTGCTAACTTACTGATACAGGAGTCACTGCAAAGACATATGAAAAAATAACGTCACACATTAGAAATAGTAATAACTCCCCTAAAATATGTTTAATAAAAATTGCATTTTTAAACAGGAAAAAGTTCAGCAGATGAACTGAGTGAGCTCTTTTCAAGAGAAGCAAAATCCATCCTACAAAAATTAAGAACAATTTGAGAAAATTCAGGAACAAACATGCTGTTCTGATGTATGACTGTGTTGGAAATTCATCTCAGAGGTCTCTATTATAATAAGATGCTGTCTGTGAATTCAGCATCATCAGTATGAATAAGTTCTTTTGCAAAAAGGAAAATTGTGTGCCTGCCCAAAGAAATATACAACCTTGAAGATGAAGTAATTTTTTAATACGACAGTTGGAATGAAAAAGACCGAATAGAGAATGAACATGCTGGAATACAGGATGATTTTTAAATTCTCACCACATAAATAGCATCAAAATATTTTTATGCAAAACTGTCAGTGTTTCCAGGGATAAAATACAAAATGTTCTGGAAACCACGAAAACATTACAAAAGGTGGCTTTCATCTGTAGATTTTACCACAAGCCCATTAATGTTTTAAAATACAGACCTCAGTAATAGAAATTCTCAAGGGCTAAGTGCTAAGAGTTTAATGCCTTAGTGAGTAAGTGTTTATAGATTAAAAGCTTTGACTAAAACAAATAGGAATTCTTAGTCTCAATTTAGCAATAAAGTTTAAGTATACCTCTTTCAAGGATATGAAGACTGGCACTGCATTAATAGCAATGTAATTTGATATTGGAATATAGCCCAGATAGACATTACCAATAAATACACAGCACACATTTCTCGCTAACAAAGCATTAAGGCAAGTAAGAAGAAAGTACGTGTGCACAAATAATGTATTTGCTCTCAAAATATGATGCATTATAGTAATGCAGTAAAATTATCAAAAGATTGCATTAAAAAACCAAAACATTAATGAATCAGAAGCACAAGAATCAAATTTAATTCAGAAGTATCCCTTAAAACCATAGGACAGAACCAGTTTTCACAAACTCTTCTAAATGTGATATACACAGTAACACGAAAACAAAGCCAAAAGTGATCACCAGAACTGCTGGAGAAGCCTGGCATGAGGATGGGTAGCAAGCCAATTAACAGGAGCTGAATATTGAAAAAAAAATGAAGCCAACAGGTGAGGGCAACCATTTCCTTAAATTCTGAAGTGTCAGGACTGTCACATACAAGTGGAATTTCCCTGGTGAAAACAGCATTTGCATTGTATTGCACAAGATAAGTAGAATTATAATTACTAACAGGGAATAGCAACTAACTGGAACAGACAATAAAGAATTTCCTGAAAGGTACCAATTCTGCCTAATTTTCAGGTCCAGCAGTCACTTTTAAGGAAAAAGAATTCCTGTCATATTACTTGAAATTATCACATTTCTCAGATACCCAGCACACGGGCCTTGGTGGTGTGCTTGTTATTACTACCATGTCTTTCCTTCTCACGGTGCTGCCTACTGTGTGCCACACTCTTTGTAGAATTCTCTAATCCCTGGAAACCAGGAATTACACACATAGCAGTAAAGTAACAAATTACAAAGGAACTTCATTGAAGAAAAGTTAAAAAGCATTGCTACAGCACAAATAATATTAACAGAGAAAAGAAACTGGAGTAGCAACTTTATTTCTAGAGAAAATAAAAAAAATAAATCTCTTCAAAGAAACCTGACAGAACATGAGTAATTTACAGAATGATTCACTTGCCTGAAGCACCTGCTGCAAAGCTTTTTTAAAAAAGAATGGTTCATTGCTTACTGAATCTGCAGAGGAGGAAAAATATAATCCTCTCTCAAAGACCAAGCACAACCTATGCAAACCTTATCATGTGTCAGGTCACCTTATCAGAAAGGGATGCCTACCACTTCAAGCAAATAATGCAACAAAGAAAATGCATCCAAATATGCCACGACAGGTACTCTTTAAATGAAAAGGTACATGCCAATTAATGAAAGTCATCCTAAAGCTTCTTCTCAGAAGAAATAGGTTTTCCTAATCAGCAAACCAGGATAAGCCACAACTAGGGCTGACTTAGAGTGAGGGTAACTCCCCAAGTTCTCTGTTGAACAACTTACATCTACGATAAGTTTCAATACTAGTATTAAGAATGCTCAAATCCTTGGCCACGTTAACTAAAACAGAATCACTACAACTAAGGATTAAGAGATTACAAACATCAATTAGTTGGAGCCTCACTATATTGGAAAATACACAATATCTTCCAAAAACATTAAAAAAAAAAAAAAAAGAGTTCACTGAAGATGGGGGTTTTTTTTGCATTAATCCTTACTTTTTTTACCTGCTTTAAAAAAACAGTTCTGGAAGGGCTTTCTTAGCTGACTAGAGACAAAGTTGAGTGGTTTCTCCATGAAGAATGTAAAGCTCAAGATTGAAAAACTCAGGGTACTATTTAAGCAAAAAAGTAATACAAGAACATCAAGAAGCTGACCTAAGTACTTCTTAAATATTTATAAATAAATAATAAAGCAATATAATGATAGACACCTTTGTTCTTTCAAATAAGCTGCTTTTTATTCTTCATGTTTATCTTTTATCATTATCAAGACAAATTTTTGAAGGTCTGATTCAGACTATGAGTCATGGAAGAATCAGATCTCAGCACAGGGTGGAAACCCACACAAGTTTCTGTGTGTGTTGTATTAATAATATCTTGCATCAGTTTGACATAAACAATAAATACAAAAAGTAAATACTAAATGCAGCTACCACTTTCTGAGCCAATTTTAATTCCACTGTTAAATACAGCCCACCAAACAATATCTCGCCTATTATTTAAATAAGTAAAAAAAATTTTATATGTGACTCACATAGATTGATATATTATCCATAAAGCAGCTTTCTTGATAATCTTGAGTATTAGAAAATTTTATTGCTTTGTCTTTTGTATCTTTCCTAAACTAGTTACAGTCTTCAAGGGAAACACCAGGAAAGCAGGAAATGGCATTTAGTCTCAATTTCACTTTTGGGAGAGAAGACTTGTCCATTATGTTTAGCCTTGCTTAGAAACTCGCACAAGCTGTAGAATGCACATCCCAAATAAACTTTTAATGGCAAAAAATGCACTCAACTTCATCTTAAGAAGTTAATGTACCTAAAATTTCTCTTAAAAGCTTACACTATATCATTACTTCTGATTTCATTCTCAATTCAGAGACATGTCTGTTTCCATGTAACTTAATTGCAATAAATACTATTTATATATAGTATTTATATTAAAATACTATGTTTTGGAGGGATTTTTTTAAGCTAGATTGCCTGCAATTAGCATAGCAGTAGATTAAGTTTGTGAAAGTTAGCACACGCCTCATTCACGTGAGGCAGCATGGCAGGAGCAGAGAACATGCCAGCTCTAATTAAGTCTAACCAAACTGTCCTCTTTCCTCCATTTGAATTTTCTTCCTTTTTCAAAAATTGATTCTTAAAGCAGCAAATTCTACATAAAAAATATAAATAGAATATTTACTAACTGTGCCAGACATTAATTTCTTTACTAGTACATTGAAAAAACATTTCCTAGGAGTTTCTAAACTGAACTGATTATTATGCAATAACTTTCTTGGTAAGCATTTAGTTTTTATTAAATAATTTTCATAACCAATAAATGAAACATCAGTACATACCTGCAATTTCTTCTATGGAGTTAGCTCTCATGTCCAAAAGAACTGTGCCATTCAGGATGCAGCTCCTCAGCTCAAACAAGCTATGAAGTGACAGTGTGGCAACGTAGGGTTTGCTCCACCTCTCTCCACCATCCTCTACATCTTCTTCAAACTTCAACCACCTATACAAACATCAATTTTATAACTCTATTGTGCACAAGAAGTGAAAAATTAATTACTTCTGTGGATGCTGAAAGTACAGACACAGATGTTACACATGTCTTTAGATTTCACTTTATTCTTTCTTTTTAGAAAATACGAGAAACTCCCCGTGCCTACTTCTTTCCATATAATACTGTATTATACCATTTTTGAGGATAAGTTCTGACCACAGAGATGAAGAGGGAAATATATTAGTAATTATCTTTGTACTTGAGAAGAACTTTGACTAATTCTTTGGCATACAATGATATTTCTGTGATAGAATAACAAGTTGTATGAAAAGGAATCTGGAGAAACTTCAGTAAAGTAGAAGGATATATGAAAGTGGCATGAAAGGGTCAAGTCTTTTGTTACCATCCAGCCAGATGAGCTTGCTTGAGACTGAATGCTCTACTGATAAATACTGCACTTAAAAAGTTAAAATAATATTAAACAAACAAACAAAAATCTGAGAAGTCACCCAGGGACTGTGTCTGCGTGGGGCCCTGCAACCCACCAGCTTGGCAAAGTTTGAACAGCTGCAGCCACAGCACACAGCTGTGTCACTTGACTCAACAGCACTCAGAGATTTTATACTGACATGGCAACACAGAAGTCAAGCAGAGCCTCACACCTGGGCAGTATCATCACACTTACTTCCAGACAGCAGGGAAATGTAAAGCCTCAAGACCTCTAAAGCTGAGGAGTTTCCAGTTTTACGAAGCCTCACAGCCCAGCAAAGCAGCTAGCACAGCTGTCCTATTCCTGGGCCACCTGTCTAGCTCTGTTCCTGCTTGAAAATATGCAAGTGTACCCATATTGTATACCCTTTTCCCCTTTCAGTCCTTGTGTACCAAGTTTTTCCCCTTTTGCTGCCATCCTGCAAGCAGCCACCACTTCACTGACCCACTCATCATCAGCATATCTGCTCCCTTCCTGATGTATCCCATTTCTTGGAACTATCCCAACTGCCTTCTAATTATTTTCTCATTATTTATACAGACAATTTGCCTCTGCTCCTTGAGTCCTTCAAAATCTCCAGTCTCCTGTGTCTAGCCCTCTCCTCCTCTTTGTATCTAAATATTTTCCCTCCATTTCCTCTGTGAGGAAACTGGCCAGTTTCTGTACTTCGTCTTTGCCCACAAGAACTCTTTCCTCTTCATCAGACCTTCATCAGGCTTCCTTTGTTGCACTCTCTTTCCTCTTCCCAGCCCTTCACCTTCACATTCCTCCAGAGAAGCAGCAAGGAGAACACAGCACTAAAATTTGCTTCCACAAAGCCCAACCATGAAATTAAATTTGCATATGCAAATGAGATTTTCCAGATAAATTTTCAAAGCCACATCCAAACGGACATCAAACACAATTTTACACAATCCTCCCCACCAAATTCAAAGTGATAATTGTAAAGGGAGGCCTACAACAGCTCAGGAAAGTTATCAAGAAGGATGTGAGAAGGAAAAATAGCTCTTCAATTTTTTTCATGTTGAAGTTACACTTGAACTCCCTAAGAAGAGGCTGTTCCTGTCTAACTCACGGCACTCTTGTTTCCAAGCTGAAAAATGTGCAATACCAATCTGTATCCACAACATCACAAATACAGTGCATTTATTGTCCTGTTTAAACCACTGTCTCCCAAGATTCTGCAAAATACCTCCATTTTCATGCATGTTTCTAATCTCTTTAGGAGATTCACAAGATTTTTATAATTGAGTAGTCTTAATTATTTCTGTTATTATGTATTATTATTAGTGTTATTTTATCTTATTTCTGATATTATATTGTGCTTAGCTTGTTATATGTTATATGCTGATTCAGAAAAAAAGATTAAAAATCATGCCTCACCATACTAAAAGCAATGATCCAAGCACAGAGCCTTACAAAATATCATCAGAAACCTCATGCTGTCATTATTTTCTGTTCATGTAAGTCAGTCTTCAACATTGCTTATCTGATTATGCTGCTGCAGTCTGTCCCTGATATTACCTAATTTAAATCTACTGACCAGTTGTAAACAGATTTTATAAGAGCAATAAAAGACAACCATGTTCTTAAAAGTCTAAGACAGGTGACTGGACAGAGGCAGGCTTATTATCAGAGCCTGTAACTAAGGATACAGAGAAGTCTAAATCATGAAAACAGCTTCAATTAGTGTCAGACTTTAATGCTCACACATTGGTGCATAAAAATCCATAGGAAACTATTGCTACTGCTTAAGTAATTATACTTGTCATTGTGATTGTCTGGGTTTCCATGAACTGGAATAGTATAATTGTATGGGTTGTACCTCATTTCTTACTGTTGCAGAAACTTAGGTGTTTAAATACATTATTGTACATTGTTACTCAATGAGCCAACAGGCCAGGACATGGAACTAAATCATATCCAACTGACAGCATTCTATTTTTGGAATAAATGTCTATTTTGATTTTAACAAGCATATCGTAAGTTTACTAATTTCATCAAGGGAACATCATGTTACTGTTTATCACCTTTTATCTTTTCAGAAATATTCCTGTTATGTCAGATAATCCTTATTTAATATATCAAATGAGAAACAGTAGCAGAAAACATAAAACAATTCCAGTCTTATGCAGAGTCTTTCAATTCTGTGTTCAGTGGTTTTAAAAAGCATAATACTATTTGATCAATCCCCTGAATTAATGTGCAAGACTTCATGACAGAAATGGCTTTGAAATCCAAATTCAGGCATAGATCCCAGTTGCCAATTTTGTACTCATTTTAGTTTCTCAAAGACAAATTTAAATATATTTACTTTTGCAGTTTAACCCCTTAAATTGGTATGATTGAAAGATGAAAGCCTTCCACAATTTCTTGGGAAACACCATTGACCCCTATTTGAGCTCATGTCACACGTATCCCATGTGACAGGAACATATCTGGAGTTATGTCTGGTTGCACAGAAGAGCACTTTGATTCTTAGGGCTTTCTTTTACTGGTTAAGTCAGGTGTAGGTCTATCAATCACATAGTTTAGTTCTGATAGAATGCTTGCTAGAAAAAAATATGCAAACAAGAATTTCAGCCAGGTATTACTGTAGGAAAATTACTCAGGCTCGTGTGTGTACATACAACTTATGTATATGTCCTAGCTTCTAAAGCCATCTTCATCACTTTCTCAGGCAGAAATAAAAGAGTGCACATGCTTCATGTCAGACACAGTTACTGCATTTTCTGCACAATATGAAGTGGGTGACTTGTTCTTTATCTATTTTGTGATGTGGTATGTCTGCAGCAGAGGGGTGGAGTATGTACTCACACCCTGCTCAACAGTCAATGGTTTTAATAATGTAATCTTTCAATTTGTATAAATTTCCACATGAGCTTGTGCCTGCCCACATCGATTTGAAAACCAACCAAAGAATGAACACAAGCATGTCAGGAACAAAACAGGAGTGAGAAACCTGTGTTTCTTGTGACCCAGTTTCTTTGGAAGAAAGTTTTGATCCAGGGAAAATGCACTGCACCTCCTAACTTTCCCTAACCCATCCATTTTCTAGTCACTACTAACAATTTACTTTCTAAACTATGAACATGAGTTTCTTTTCCTAACTGTGCATTAAAATTTAAGCTTAAGCACTTTCCTCCTGGTTCCAAGGAAATTATTGCACCCTCTCATTTGCACAGAAAAGCACTTTGAATTTTATTGTCGTTTTGAATTTGGTAATTTCCTTGCCATCTCCTCCTTTTCTAATCAGTCACCCCATATCAAATGCAGTCTGAAATTTTGAGATCCAAATTTAAAAGGATCATTTATCTTGACCAGTTCTTTCCACACAGCAGCCACACTCTTCCCTTGTTTTCACCTTACTGCTAAAGCTAAATGAAGAAAATTTTACTATTAGCTATTACATCACTCTTGTATTTTCTGAGCTCCAAAATGTAGTTTTCTTGGCTGTTTTTCTCCTGCCCTTTTTCAGCAATCTCATCTTGTTTCTATTAAACATTTTTAATTCTTCATTTCACAAACAACAATTGAGAAGGCTGTACATATGGACAGATCAACTGAAACAGAAATTTATTTTACCTACTTCATTTGAATTCCATATTCATCAGAACCACTTGCTAACAGAAATTGTTATAATTTTCAGAAACACAATTCTTTGATAATTTGCAAAGAGATTTTTTTTTTTAAGTTGAACTAAAGAAGTTGCTATTCCACTGCTTAAAAATAACATAACACACCATGATTTTTACTTTTTCATTTCTACAGAAGTTCATATCCCTCCTAGAGAGGTTCTATGTATTCCTAATCAGTATGAGAACATTGCAGATTATTACCTTGATTAGATATTCTCTCTCTGAATATTAATAAGATTATTTAGGAACACTACTGCATTCCTTTTGCAGCACAATCCCCATATGAGAATTTTCTACACATAAAAATCTATATTTAGCATCTCTCTATGCTGCCTATAAGCAGATAATGGAAGGTCATAGAAAATTTTTTGGCCCTCTGGGAAATCAGAAATTTGCAGCAAAATTAGACTACCAGCCATGTTCATGTCAGACAGTCCCATATATATTTGGCCAAAATCCTTCCAGAAATTTTGCAATTTATATTCTACCAAATATATATTAAACAGACTTTTGGGCACCATTGAGGGAGACTGTCAACAACTGGCAGGGAGAGAAAGAACCAAGGTTTCAAGATGACAAATAAAGCAAAGATTTCTGTAAAATGAAAATTCTTAATGAACTAAGGAAATCATCTCCCATTTCAATGCTCAAATAAAAAAATATACAATTAAAAGAAAAATTCTGTACCAGCTTTTTTTTTTTCAGATCAGAAATGCAATCTAAAATCTTTCCCACTAATTTTGCAGAAATAAAATAATCCAACACTGAATACTCATTCTCAAAATAAACTGTTCATAGACTTAGAATACGTAAAAGTTCTATTGCTCCAAAAGTAATCTCATTCCTTGCTTTAACCTTTTTATAATGGTACCCTTAGCAGTTTCCCCAGGATTCTAACAAAATATGAAGTTTGAAAGATTCTTTAAATTAGAAGATAAAATATGAATTTACCCAATAATTTTTAGTTCACAAATATTGTATATTTACATTCTTTTTTTTCAATTGGTATTCAATCTGACCTATATTCATAAATCCAGATGAAAACATCTGGCTCTGGGAAACAACAAATGCTGTTGTAATACTAGTAGTATAAGCATTAAAATTATGGTTTTATTTCAGATTTATAACCAAAATCTTTCCCTGAGCTTGCCACAGCTTTGAAATCATACCTCAGTTCATCAGCAACCAATACCTACAGATAATTTTTAAGTTACGGGAACACTCACCTTGCTGTCTCCCTCCACTCTGCATCCTCTCCTTCACGCCAACAGATTTCATCAAGCTCAGTAAAGAGATCATGAGGAATGTGTTCCTCATCATCATCTTCTGTTCCAAGAATAAACTGCACCCTTTGTGATGGGGTATCTGGAGAAAAATAAAAATATCAAGTCCAAGACACCAATATTTTTGCCCTGAGTGAACAAATTTTATGAGATTATCCAGATGTTTTCATGCATATTACTTACTGCTGCACAAAAAAAATTACAGCTCTGCTGTAAGAACATTCATTTACACACAAACACATTCAGATTGAGATCTCTTCATTTACTGTAGCTGTCAAGTCCACTTTTTAAAAAACTCCTCCAAGATATAACCTGATGTATATAGGAACAGGGTCTATTGGAAGCTGGAATGGTACCTCCCAGACAAAAAAAAAAAAAAAACAAACCACCAAAAAAACCACAGAAAGCAGCACAGATAAAGCTGATAAAAGTCTTTTACTCCACTGTTAGGAAAAACCACTTTGCCACTTCCTAAGCCTACATCTGCAGACCCATTTCAGATCACAAAACTGGAATACTAAATGTGAAATCTTTTCTGTAGGAGAAGGAAACCAAATGAAACCTGCCTAATATGAATATGCAATTGCAGACTTGACCCTTGCCCCTTTGTTAACTCTTTCTACTTGGCTGGGCTGCTTGAGATATACTTCTTAATCTGTCCCAGCCTCCTCATTTTATTCTTGCTGTCTCTGTCTTCTCTTTCAATACTGTTACTGACTCATTTTCTTCATAACCTTTCAGCACAGACAGCTAAATATATTTTTGAAGATATACTATTATTTTTTTCACTCAAAAATTTCACAGAATTCACAGACCATCTTAAAGTACATGTGTATTCAATGTTCATAGCTCAAGTGCTGTATTAAAAAAATCCTATATCCAATTTGCTTATTTAAATGCAAATCTCAAATGAACAGACTCTGATGAAATGTAGTTTCCCTGGCAATACATAGCTGCTTTTTCTGCTAATGTATTTTAGATTTTCAAAAGGAACCAAAAGTCCTTTGTGAGAGCTGAGAGAGGCCAGGCTGGCAGTCAACTGAAAAACTGATTATCCAGCAGAAGAGCTCAGTGACTCCTTGAACATTGTCTAAATGAAGTTCAGTTCTACAACATATTTGTAAGACAAGCTATTCCATCTAACAGCAAAGAGCATCACTGCACAGGATCCTCAAGCTCTTTGAATTTTGGAAAGAAATGAGATGACACACCCATTGAATGCTAATTAAAGAGAAATCACAGCTCTGATCCAAATGAATTAAATGGGCCACTGACACAGAAAATTAAATTCAGCAATAGAAATACCTTTTTGATAGCAGCACTAAACTTGCTATAGCAATGAAACACAATACATGACAGTTTTCACTTGAGGTCTATTTGCTTAAAAAGAGTGTACAGATACAGAATAAAAGTAAAGCCTTTTTACTCCTTTTACTCCTTCACAAAGCAAGGAAATTAAACCCAAGGAGAAGTACAGGAGAGAAAGAAGAGAGATATGGACTCGGGTACTACAAAGCATCAGAGGATGGAACTGCAGGGGGTACAGCTACAGGAATTACTTTTGGTGACTCACTGAAGAACAGCAAGAAGCTCCTCCACTTTACCCTGTCTTTGCTTTCTCTTCTCTCTCTATTTAGGACTCTATTTAGTCCTCTTTTTTCCTTAAAACCATTCTACTTTTTTTTAATCTGAGACTAGAAAATACATTCTAGTTAAGATGCGTGCAACTTCTTAAGACTAATTTCCAGGATGAAATTCAATGAGATATGAACTTAAAAAGGATTAGGGCATATGCCTACAAACAGAACATGGAAAACAAGTTACTTTGGTAGAGAGCTGGACTTAGCTAGAATCTGAGAAACAGCATTGCCAGGAACATCCTGCACTCTTGATAAAACCAACACTAGAAGCAATCTTGATAAAATCAGCACTAGAACTGATTTACAGCAACTGCTACTGTTAAGTAATAAATGAGCAGTGCTGTAGAGCAGAGCTGCAGCTTTGTGACAGCTATGATCCTCATGCAAATACATGCTTTCAGCGTGGGAAGGAAAGCAGAGGATCAGAAATCTTGAAGTCAGGTGAGTAGTAACAAGGAATCACCTCACTGCAGTAATTTGCTCTTCCTGGGTCTTCTGTGTAACGAGCTACTTGACTGACAAGAGTGAATCAGAATCTTTTAGGTTGAAAAGACATCTAACATCATCAGGTCCAACTGCTAACCAAGCACTGCCAAGTCCACCACCAAACCACACCCCTAAGCACCACATTTAAAGAAATGACGAAATATGCACTAAATTAACTTCTTCTTTGTTAACAGAGAAGTAAAAAAACCTGCTGGATTCTGTCTTTCTTTACTGCTGTGATTTCTATTGGTATTTGAAACGTGCAAGTCACAGCTCCATCTTCAGACAATGAGCTGGAAGATGAAAAAAAAAAAAGTTATCATTTGCTTTATGGTACAATAATTTTATTTCAAGGACAAGACCCTACAAGATGTAAACAATAGGAAAATTATAATTAAACCAACAGATATGTTGGTTCCACTTATAAAACTGAATTAACAGGAGTTTTCATGAGCAATGCCAGATAGATTTGGCTCATATTCATAGGAGCTATAAATACCAAATATGTCATTAATATGTTATATAGAAAATTAGTAATATGTGATTCAAAATCAGTATGGAAGAATACTTCAATTGCTGACTGTCAAACTGTGATAACTTAATCCCCAGTGCAGAAGCATAATATTTGCAAACTAGGACACAATGTTTTCTGTATTCTAGGCAAACAGAAATTGGCTTGAATATTATTTTTGTCTACCCCTACTTTAAGTAGCACAGCCAGAAAAAAAAAACTTCATACTATTATTGCTGTTTCTAAAAAGTAATAAAAACAATCTAGATTAATCGTTTTAAAAAAATGAGTGAGACTAATCTGTTACAATAGTATTTCTATCACTGTAGTTGTTTTATATCAACTATATAAATATAGTTTATATATTATTTGTAGTCAGAGTTATCAGAAGCAATATGAATTTAAAGTTTCACAATAAGTAGCTGATGACTCTCCCAGGCATCCAGTCCACCACCAGATCAGGAAATCCTCTGCAACCAGTTAGAACTAGGTAAAAAGGCTGGTACACAACAGGGACAGGGGTACCATCAACCAGCACTCCTACTTGGCTAATGAACAGTCTCAGTCAGGAAAATTGAAGTACCTTTGTGTTTGCTGTGGCTCCCCTCTGTTTTATCCCTGGCTTTCTCTGGGCTTGTGCTCATTTGATACGTGCAGAGCTTGCATCCAAACTACCTCCGATACCTCAAATTCATTTCATGCTTGCAAATTCTGAGTATTCCACACTTAAAAATCTGGCTAATTCCACTGGTCTAATAAAAGGGTAAAAATGAAGATTTGGTGGTTAAACTACTGCTGAACACACAAATTCAAAGTGGGACTCAGTGTTGCAGAAAGGGAGTGACCCTGCAGAAACCTGACATATTGATCTATATTATGACACCTTGTAAAGTCAACAGCATCGCTAAAACAAATGCAAGATGTGGGCATAGACATCCCAAACAGCAAATTTAAAAGCCAGAATTTCTAATAACCTAATTCCCAGAGGGAAACATGAAGAGCTGCTCCCTGGAACAGTGCTGAGTGTCAAATAGTGTCCCACAACACATTCCCACCTGGCAAAACACAAATAGAAAGGAATCATAATTGGCATTTCCCCCATCTAAAACATCCCCAAGTGCAACCACAACTCTGAGTCAGGGCTGCTCCCTCTTGCCTAAGGGAACAAGGTAAAATCAAGACTTGGTCTGGGGTAACAATGGAGGATCACTCTCAGTCCCTTCACATAAATTCAGGCCGACATTCTGTTCCACTATACCAGTCAGAGTAATCCACATCATTTCAGACAAATATTCATCATCCTCCTGGCTTGCACTCACCAGAGAAGTGGTGGATGGGGACTCTCCCCTATCCTCATTCCTTTGTAGACTGGACCCTGTCCTCAGCAATCAGTAAAGATAAGGACCGCATTTTTTTTTTTTTCATTAGAAAACTTAGTAAAAGTTAAAACTAAATTTGCATTACTAAAGCTCACATAAAATAGAAAACAATCATACAGTACACTTCTGAAAATCTCTTCACAGACCTTAGAAATCACAGGTTGGGCTGGGAGAAAGTATCCCTTTGGTTATTCTCTGGCACTTGATCCCTATAGCTACAATCTGCTTCAAGAAATTATCCCAGCATTTTCTTGACATGAATTATTTCCATCAACCCAGGGCTATGACAAATAATCATATCTTTTGGATTTGACAATATGGACAATTCCCAAGCTTTAACTCTCTTCTTTTTGCTAGATTCTTAAAACTGCAGTTATGATACATTATTTTAATCCAGATTTGCAGCAATCTGTTCCACAGCTGCCCAGAAATTCAAATTTCCAAGTTCATCCTTCATCATACAAGCCTATAGTTAAGAATAGGTGAATTCTCTTAACAGCCACATTCTTTACAAATAATTAATTTTACCCTGCCAATATCCCTTCAGCACTTGAGATTAGGTACCAAATATATCCAGTTGAGTCTTTTCAATTTACTTCCTTCAGTTCTTATACCAGCCAAGAGAAGCCTTGGTTCTACTAACCAAGAACAGCTTTGCAATTCACTGCATTTTTTCCTGCATTACCTTCAGAGAGTCTTTCCTGAGCCGTGTGCTCTCCTGTGTCAGGCTCACCTCCAGGGCTGCTCTGCTTGCCTTACCACATCCAGTATCATGAATTACAAATTTAAGCCTCTTTAAAACCAGGGATTACTAAATCCAGATTTCTTAAAAGAACAAACCAAACCTTCCACAGCATTCAGTAGTGCCTAGTCATGCAGGACACACATGAGGCTGTAATCAAACCGCAGCTCTCACAGCTCTGTTCACTTTAACCCTCAACAAAATCTGTCCTTAAAGACACCCTGTTCAGAGCCAAACTCTTCCTATTCCACCATTTTAAAACAGCTACTTAAATATCTTTAACTGATGAATACCAAAAAGCTGTTTCATTGGTTACAGGCAAACAACAGGCATCAAAAAAGCCACAGAAAACTGCCACTAAAATCCACATGCACACAAGCAAGTGCAACCCCACCAGCCAAAGGGAAATCCTCACCAGGCTTTCAGTGCCACCACGACCCACGGCACTGATGGAGCCTGGTGGCCCTGCAGCTCACAGGGGCTGGCACCCATTGCCCTCACAAGCAGCACCACAGAGATGCCCCAGGCTAGAAACAGCTTTTTTTTTTTTATCAAATTAGTTTTAATTTGCATCAATTCCCTAATTTAATTCACAAAGCAGTCACAATACTTTACCCCACAAGGAAAACTGTGGAGAAGGAGAGCCTAAGGCTGAAATGAAATTGGGGCTTTAATTACAACAGCAGCACTTCAGCTGAGAAGAGTAAACCTCTCCAGTAAAACAAATAGTACTACTGCTATTTTAACTAGACTGGATAAATTCACTGAATTTCTCCTGCTCTCCAAAAAGACGAAACTTAAGCAACAAGACAGTGAAAACCTAGGCCATTGAAATCACTTAGCTTACGATTTTTACTACCCAAAAAAGCCTCCCAATGAGCAAACCATTTAATCTGCAAGTTGTGCATTTTACAGGAAATTCATTATGGCAAAATGGAAACACCTTTTACAACCTCATCTCATTAAGAGGCAACAGGCAGGGAGAATCAGGTGTAGGGAAAATAAAACCCAAACCTGAGTGATGAACCTGTGCCCCTAAATAACAAGACTCTCATTCTACTAAGTACATATTTTGCATATTATTTGCCTAATTTGGAGTTATCTCTGAATCTGTACACTAAGAACATTTGGGTTATTTTTGAAAAGTGACAGTAGGAGATAAAAAAAAATAATTTTATGAGCTGATGTCAGAATGTTCTAAAAATTTTATTCACTACAGAAACCTTCCCAGAAAGTAGCTGGTACAGCTTTCCCAGACAGGACTCAAAGGGATCACCAGGAAGCTTCCCCTGTTGTCATTACACTGACTAGAGGTTTTCTACTCATGCTGATACACAGAAAACACTTAAAGAAATTGTTTTTTACTAGACAGGACCCTGGTGGAACCACTCCTCATCGGGGTCCACACAGCCCCACAGCACAAGGTGCCCTGCACAGGCCTCTGGAACAGTGATGGCAGAGCAAGATCTGCACAGAAAAAGTTATAAATTATACAGTTATCGATTATGACAAAAAAATAATACTTTATCCCATGCTGAATTAACTGAGCAGTGTGGAGCACTTCATGTCTGAATATTTCAGGTCTTTACTTGTTCCAGAATCTCTATTATTCAGTTGTTGGATCTTTTGCTTTTATTATATCTCCTTTCATACTTCACTGCTTCAAAACACTGCTAATTTATTCTCTTGTATCATAAAAATCCTTATGTATTTTTCTGACTTACTTCAAAGCACTGTTTTCTATCAGTTGGTCTCACAGTGCTTATTTTCTCCATCTTTTCTTCTTGCACCTGCTCATCAAAATGTTTTTTCTTTCCCCTCCTCCCTCACAGTTCCCAAGCATACAGCCTTTTACTATTTGGCAGAAATGCATTAAAAGTTGTCGATAGGAAGATGGAGCTAAGCATTTCTGCTTGTTTAATTAAATCAGAATGATTCAGAAATTAAGGGACTAGTTTGCATCTACTCTCAGGTAATGCAGTCCCTCATATTGAGTTACGCATCAAAAAAAGGAAGTGCATTTGTCTTCCTTCGAGCTTCCTTTGATTCTGGTTACTGTTGGAAACTAAGTCATGGGGAAGAAGAGCTAAAAAGCTTATTGAGGCTTAGTAGGTTCAGATTTAGTGTGGGAAGTATCTGTTGCTCCCTCTGTGCAAATAAAGCATAGAAAAACTATGCCTATATTCTCTCTAAAGGCAAAGCTTCTCCACAGGCAGCACAACAAGCTGTCTGAAACTCCTGTAAGGAAAAACTATAGCAAAAGAAGGAGGTGGGTATAGACTACTATTAATCTATCTATTATTTTTATTGCCTGCCTTATATGTGCTTAACCTCACCATCACTGTAGCATTTTAAGATTTGTTTTCATTAGGCAAATCCCTTTCACTCTTGTCTGTAGAACACCACATTTCTGCCTGGATGGACAGATGTCAAAGCTCAAAATCTAGTTCACTGGCCAAACTTCCAGGAGTCAGATAGACAAAGGGAAAAACCCTCAAAATTTACTATTCAGATAATTATTCAGGGTGAAAAGACTGGATATTTCCAGATTTGCGGTTCTATTTTTGGATTATTTGAATTTCTATCAACCAAGCACTTTGAAGAATATCTTCAGCAGTCTAAGTCCAGAAAAGATTTCCATGTTTCTGACCTGTAACTTGTCTGTCAAGTGACACCACTTACACACACCCTTTAACTGGTAGCTATAATACCTTTAAAACTGAAAACGTGACTTAAAAAACTGCAGCTCTGTAGTCATTTCTTGAGGTACACCAGAGGACGAGTGCAGTGAACATCAAGTTACAAATGCGCTTCAAAACTATCTTTTTTTCATATTACTGCAATTTCACCCTCAGAGATCCTTTGAACACAGGCTGATTTAGCTAACACAGAATTATGTTGAACGTATTTTATTGTACGCACAAATGTCAAAGAATATTAAGAACAGATTCAGCCAGTTAGTTTTTTGGGTTTTTTTTTTTAACTTTTGACATTAAGGAGGACACAAGCCTAGGTCTCCAGAAGTTGAAAGAACAGAGTGAAGTTCTCAGCCAAAATGTGTCACATACTGGCACTTAAATAAAACCAGATGACTCAACAGAAGACACTGTTTCATAGTTCAAGATATCTCACTTCTTGGCTAATGTAACTTTCAATTGTTTCTTTTTAATCTGACTTTATATGTATATATGCATATTCTTTTTGAAAACTGTTTTAATAATTTATGAACTTTGTTTTTTTCCAAGAAAATGGTTTCAATATTGTATTGGGTCTTTGTACATTTGAAATCCATTCCAGACAGAACCACCACAGCCAATTTTTTCTTCACTGTTCAGTCTTCAAAACATAACTTGTATCTGCTAAGTTTGAAAAATTCTTGACTTTGTTTTACTCTCAATATAATAAACCATTGCACAAGATTTAAGAATTTCAAGCTCTAATCATCACCACTTGCAGTACACTTGCTCAAGAGCTTTCCACGTACATAACACAAACTTCTGATTAAAAGAAAGTCTTATAATTACTATTCTGTAACCTGAAATTACACTGGCACATTTCTCTAATGATTTAAAAACACACTAGCAAATTGTTTTCTACACACACACTTCCATTATATTTTAAACTCCATAGCCTTGGACATTTCATAGCATGCACTTTTTATTTTTGAACAGCACAAAACTTTGGTGTTTGGAGACAAAGCTTAACTAATTTATTAATGATTACCTTCTTCTCTTCTCTGTAATGTTTTCTAACTTAAAATTTTGAGAACTTTTGGAGTTAAACTTCATATCAGGTTTGTTCACTGAAAGTAAAAGAACCCAAACTTTTCCTGTTACTATTTCCCTGCTTTTTCCTCAAGTCCACAGTTAGCAGATTCAAGTTACAATGGCACATTTACAGTGTCATATTAGGAAAAAGGTAGACACAACCTAGGTCACGGTTTGAATCTGATAAAGCACTGCAGCTTCAGTAACATCAACATTACTACAAAACTAAATGTAAAGGACCACAACTCTTCTATGCTACATTTTAGGGGCAAATACTCCAGAGCCTGGCCTGAGGCAGCAGGTGCCATAGAGAACTTCCCCCCTCAGTGGTGGCTGCAGTCTGTGAGAGCACTTAGGAACAGTCTCCCACAGTGCTCCTTCAGAGCTAGAAACTACTGAGCCTTCTCAGCTACAGACTGCCACTGGCTGCTGCCCGTCAGTGAATTTGTTCATGGGAATGAATCACCAGCAGAAGCTCTGGTGGATTCTCCAAAACCCTGCTGCTACTAATGTCCAAGTGGTAACAGGAGAGAGTATACGTAATCATGCTGACGTTTACTGAAGAAATATCCAAAAATGAAATTTGTCTTACCAAAAGGAGGAGATTCTCTCCCATCTTCTAATCCTGAATCTCGCTCTCTGTCTCTCTTTCTGTGTTTATGCCCACGGTGCCGATGGCGTCGGTGACTTTTTCTTCCACCCAGTGGCACGTGAACCCCAATGAACAATGTTCGATGGCCTACAGGTAAAAAAAGGTACCTTTGAGAAAGGAGCTATGGCAACACAACAACAATGTAAGTAAACTTAATAGGATTAATGGTATAATTCTTATGATAACTTTGAAGTTATATAATATTGATTATTCTAATGTTAATAGTCATAACAGTATTGATTTGAATAATGATGATTAAGCATCACAGATACACAACCCCTTGATACAGGAAGAAATCCCAGTACTGAAGTCTTTATGATGCAGTGCCAGATATATTTTTTTTTCCTTCAAAAAAATTTGCATCTTTGTATGTGAACTTTCATTAAAGCCAGACAGGTGTTCTGTTAAATGTCTTCCAAAACAGTAATATGAAGAGACACATGGATCTCTTTGGATTGAACATTTGGTAAAGTTGCTGTTTGCTTTATGTGTACAAGAACTTTACCAAATTCATTCCTATTTATGAGCCAAACCTTGACAGAATTCTTGTGGGAAATTCACTGAATAAAAAAACAAAGAAAAAATATATATAAAAAAAAAACAATAAAACACATTGTAAACAATAGCAAAAAAATCCCTATACAACTTTACATGCTCACATCATAAATACATTGCTGGTATCTTAGGGTGCTTTCATTTCTTCTTTCTTCTTTTTTTAAATACATACGAAGGTATGTTTTGCATGCCTGCTGCCTTCAAGCCTGACGAATTTTATGTTGCTGATCAAGCCCACAATATTTAGCTCTCTTGCTATGTGAGTTAACAGGATCAGAGCACAGTAAAGCATTTAGAAGGGAGAGAGCACAGCAGAAATGTGCAGAAAGAACCACTAACCAGAACAAATGGGAAAGGAAACATGACTCACTACAGGCAGGTCTCCTACATTTACTCAGCAGAAAGACATAGTCCAGATTACTCATCTCAAATAGCATTATTTTCTCCTTGAAATGAACATAACACATCTCATGGATAATTGCTGCTTTGCTGCAATCATTCAGCAGTGTCAATCATCCGAAAAAGGTCAAGAACACTAAGCTAAGGTACTCTAAGCACGTGATCTCTAATCCCATGGAGACAGAAAACACAGCAAGGCAGCATGTGTCACAAAATATAAAAGAAATTCAACATTGACAGGGATTCTCTGCAGAGGAAGAGCCAAAAAGGCTGGAGAAAAGACTGGACACCACATTAGTTACTTCCTTAACTTTGATCCATGTAGAGGAGACTAGAAAGCAGAGACACCAATTTTTGAGAGACTTGTCTTGCAGAGTCAGGAGCTTTTCCTAAAACAAAGTCCACAAGTTGAAAAATATTTATTTATTTAACTATTAAATATGTCTTTCTTCTTGCTTATTACATTTAACCCAATAAATGGTTTAAAGTGCTGCCTTTTGTGTATTTCAAATGCATTGCAGTCAGTAGTGCATGGCACAAAGAAAAATTCATTAAAAAGACACTGAAGTACATGAGTAATGCACTACTTTTACATTTTCTTATCCCCCTTTTCAGACAGAAGAAAAAGCAAAATAACATTTTGAAAGGAATGGCTTACCCTTCCTAAGACTTTAGTAATTTCCAGAGGTGCAAATAGATTGCTTTTTTTAATTTAGTAATTTGGTACATTCCTGCTGATTTGTGATAGAAGTTGGCATGCTTAACCTAGTTTTCTCCTACGTCAATGATCAGATTGTACCTGCATCAGGAAATGCTGATTGAGACTCACATTTCAATTAATTTCCAGGGCTGAAACCAGTACTTGAGTCCAGACTGTTCTTTATTCAGTACACTGGGATACAGTGCCAGAACATTTATCTGTGTCTGAATGCCACAGCAATTTTCCTTATACAGACACAATCAGTTCACACTGAAAAAAAAATAAGAACCTGGAAACTGAAATAGACATCAGGAAAAAGCAAAGTGTATTTTACTCTACACTCAGTAGGTGTGAACCTACTGAGACCAGCAGAGTCCCACCTAGGCATAATTTCAATAAACACACAGAGGAAGGTAGGTGCTTGTAACCAGGTTCTGACAAACACGAAGAAAAGAAACTGACAGGGGAAAAGCAATAGCTTCCTACTGAATAATCATAGAGCAAAAAGCAAAAACTCTCAGAGTTAAGTAGTTCTGGTTTATTAAAAGATCAGAACTGTGGAGCAAAAAAGAGACCATCTGGGAACAAAAGAGTAATGAATTCTAAATTGCTGACAAAATGACAATGAATGAGAGAAGCAGCAAAAAAAGAAAGAGGAAATACAAAAGAAATCCAATTACTGTATTACCTTACTTCAAGTAACCTTTTCATGGTAGGCATTATGAACTAGAGCCCAGAATGTAATGTACGTTTTCCTGTACAAATTGTCCAAGGCATTATAAAACCAGAGTTTCCAGAGAGCCCTCTAAGTTTGCCAAGACTAGAAAGTCAATCACAGACAGACCAGGGCAGATATTAGGAAAAGCTGACTAAAATTTCTAAAAAGAAAGGGCATCTCTAATAGAGAAGTCAGAATCAACCAGGATATCCACTATCAAGGATATCCTTATAGATAATAAATGATACGGGCATTTCTTTCATTTATCTTTAAAAACTTTTTTGTGTCTTTTATTATTTACTTCATCAGGATGTCAACTAAAAATGACTTAATATTGCTCAAATATTGTAAAATAATTCTGCTCTGCCATACATTTTCACAGCCCTTAGCTCAATTAGATCACAATTTCTCATTCTTGGCAAGGCTACAAAAACACTAAGTATGGGAAGTATGGGAAGTATGGGAAGTATGGGAAATTGTAACAACTGAAGATTACATCAGGGTACAAACCACTGACATCAGGTACAACCTAACAACCATTCTCACCCAGAGCTGGCATATGGTTTAAGAGGTAAGCATAACAGATTGCTCTCCCTACCAAAAGAAAATTGTTAAATTTGTTTTTTGTGTCTGTGTTAAAATTGTTTTTGGAAGAATGGGAGGCACTGGGACAAAAAAATATGTGCTCTTGGCATTCCATTAAAAATATCTTAATTCCAATAAATTAAGGGAAACATTTACAAATCCTTCCTCTCCATCTCCATTTGATATGTCACATCACTCAAATAATTGTAATGGGATTTCCAGAAGTAGCTAAGTTAAGTCATCAAGCACCATCAGCTATAATGGGTTGTGTGTTTTCAGAGCTGTAGAAATCCCACTACATTTCTTTTTCTTTTCATTTATTTAATGCATAAGATAGGTAGCTAGGATAGGCTTCTGGCTTTAAAGACCCAGAATGCCAGGTTCTGAAAATCATTTTTAGATGTTACTTCTGCCATTCTCAAGGGATATGCAAAAACAATTGCTATTCTGAGCCTGTTTTTTTGGATTATTAATTTGCTATTGGGTTCTTAAAATAAATTTAAAGTGTAAGGAATAATTTCTCCTTTGAAACACAGCAACCCAAAACAACACTTCTACTTAGATTTTATTCTTAGAAATGTCTCTGTCAAACGTATTCATATTAATAATGTATGTTTCATATCTGTCTTTTCTAGGGCAATGAATTCATACCTCCACAAACAGAAGACACAGCACAATACCTTTTTTCCTTCAAAAGTTTAGGGAAGATCCTAGTTTTTCCACATGCTTATATGCACTTTCATCTGTCTCAAAATTAATTATAATAAACAGGACTCCTTTTAAATATTTTATAATGTAATTTGGATTTAATGTAATCCTGTAAAAATTAAAAAGAATGCTTTCTAACAAGGGTTATTATTTCTTCAATCCTTAAATTCTTGAACTCAAGGAGTATTTTAATGTTTTGAAAGTAAACCACAAGCTTCTTATACTATAAATAAATACATATGAACTAATTTTGTATCCTAGGTTTTTTTCCCCAGTTATGTGCAATTTGATTCAGAATAGTCTTTTATTAAAAACAATCTTTATACAATCTACCAGTGGATGCGTAGTTTTGTATAAAGGTCATTGCAGAGCAGATAAATTCAGCACATTGCAATTCTTTAAAGCTTTCACATTGTAAATAATCTTTGCATTTTACTTCATTTTCTCAGTGGATCTGTTTTTAAAAATTATTTTCTCCTAAATCCTAATAGTGGAGGTACTAATGCTTGTGTTCATGTTTCACTTTCCTAGCAGCACATCTGGAATAAATCAACATTTGAATTTAGAGTATGTTTTTGCAAGAACAAAGTCACATTCTTTCTAAGATAAAATACTACTGATGCCAATGTAAGGTTAATATAAAAACTTAGGAAGACCAGATAAATCCTATGACTCATTGATATCTAAGCCAATTCTGACTTTTAAAATTGTAACATAAATTAAACACAGCATAAACCATGGAGAAGAGCCTCTTTCAGCATGGAAATTCTTTCAGGTCTCCATGTTGCACCAGGAATGTGGAACTCAAGTAGGTACTTTAGAGCTTCTCAGTGAACCAGCCAAGTTGGTGGCAATTGTGTAAAAAAATGATTGTCCTGGATCTAATCATCCATGAGCACCAGATGCTCAGGGTACATGTGCTTGTGCTGCCTTCCACCTGGGATTATCTGACTCTGCCTGAGGCACCTGCTGACACCAAGACTTTCAAATCCCTGATCATAGGCATGGAGGGAAGGGGCAGATAAGGGAACAGATGGGTCTTGAAACACCTCCAGAAAGAGTAAAGGCAGGCTTCTGTGACCTCCTGAGGAAACACATTGCAAAGGCAAGATGCCTTGAGAGAGAATTCTCTGGCAGCAGTTCAAGCCAAGTCTCAGCTGACTGCTGACCTCAGCAGGACCACGGGGGTTTCGCCTCCCCTGGAAAATGCTCAGTGCCTTGAAGCCTCCTGTATGCATTGACAGCTAGAGTATATGAACCAAGTGAAATTTTTCATCCTCTCAAAAATGAACAGTGAGGTAGACAGAAACCATCACAGAAAACATCAGTCCATGCAGGGTTAAAAAAAATTGCCTTCCTCCTTACAGGAAAGAAAATTATTATGGTGAATTGTGTAGGAGTAGAGAGTACATGACTCATGAT